TCTCCGGGACCCCCCCCTGCACCCAGAGGTGCTTCGAGGGCTGCGAGTGCGACCGGGGCTTCCTCTTCAGCGGCGCCCGATGCGTCCCCATGGGCTCCTGTGGGTGCCTGCACCGCGGCCGCTACTTCCAGGTGGGCTCCTCGGGGGCCCCATGGGGGCTCTGAGGTCTTCCCATGGCGTCCGTGGGTCCTGAAGGCCCCTTCCTGAGGTTCTTCAGCGGTCCAAGGGGTTCCTGGGTGTTCTCCAATGGGAATGTTCCAATGGGAAACCCCTCATTTCTTGGCTTTCTACCCCTTCCCAATGGGAAAACTCAACCTGTCTTGATGTTACCCCTCTTCCCAATAGGAAACCCCTCATTTCTTGGCTTTCTACCCCTTTCCAATGGGAAAACCCAACATTCCTCTCCCTCCCGCCCCCTCCCAACCTCAAACCCAGCCACAGGCTCCCTACTGATGCTTCTTCCCCCACCCCAGATCGCCGAGACCATCAGGTCCCCGGACTGCACCGAGACCTGCACGTGCCGGGGCGCCGGTGCCCTCCAGTGCCGACCTTCTCCATGTCCCCTTGGCCACGTCTGCGGCCACCTCAATGGGGCCCGGGCCTGCGTGGAGCAACCCGGGCGCTGCAGCTTGGCCCCGGCCACTGCCTCCGTGTCCTTCGATGGGGCAACTGGCACCACCATGGCCAATGGGGTCTATGTGGTGGCCACGTTGTGCAACCCTCAAGGCTCTCCATGGTTCCGGCTCTTGGCTGAGGTTGGAGAGGACCAAGAGAGACCATCAGTGCTCGCTCTCCACCTCTTCAGCAATGGGGCTTTCATCACCATCAAGAGGGAGAAGAGGGTCTGGGTAGGCCATTCCCATCATACTACAACACAAACGCCTACTTCATAATCATAACATCAAATAAACCTAACCCTAAACATAACTATGACCATAAACCTAATCCTAACCCAAAACCAGACCTACCCCTAAAAACAAATATAACCAAAACCCAACCCATAACCCAACACTAAAAATAAACCTAACCCTAACCCTAAACCTAACCCTAACCCTAACCCTAACCCTAACCCTAACACAACCCTAACCCTAACCCTAACCCTAACCCTAACCCTACCCCTACCCCTACCCTAACCCTAACCCTAACCCTAACCCTAACCCTAACCCTAACCCAACCCTAACCCTAACCCTAACCCTAACCCAACCCTAACCCTAACCCTGTGTCTCCATACCCAAAACGAAGGGAATTCACCCCAGTTTGGAGGAAATGACCCATTTCTTGGGTGTTTCACCCCATGGCACAGAGCCACCCTCTTGGTGTCTTCCCCAGGTCAATGGGGTCGCAGCCACCATCCCTATGGAAGTCTATGGGGGGCTGAACATCACCGAGACCCATGGAACCATCCGGATCAGCCAAGCCTCATTGGACACTGAGCTCAACCCCAATGGGGAGGCCACGGTGATGGCGGCCCAAGGCCTCCATGGGAAGCTCTGTGGGATCTGTGGGAATCACGACGGGAACGCCGCCAATGACCTCCAAGGACCCGATGGGACCTTGGTTGGGGACATGGAGGCCATGGCCAAGGCATGGAGAGCCCCGGACTTCACCCATGTGAGTGCCCCATGGCTTGGGCTGGGGGGAGCTTGGTTGTAGTTCCCAATGGGATCGGGGGTCCCCACCATGGGGAAGCATCCAGGGGTTGGGGCTGTGGCTTTGTGTTAGCCCCAGTGGGTCTTTCCCCATGGATGTGGGGCACGGAAAGGGTCGTTCTTGGTCCCATCATCATCAAGGGGGGGCAGGAGAAAGGGAAGAGGCCTGAAAGAGGGGGAAATGGAGCAAAAAGAGGGGAAATAGCCCCCAAAAGAGGGGGAAATGGAGCAAGAAGAGGGGAAATAGCCCCCAAAAGAGGGGGAAATGGAGCAAGAAGAGGGGAAATAGCCCCCAAAAGAGGGGGAAACGGAGCAAGAAGAGGGGAAATAGCCCCCAAAAGAGGGGAAATAGACCCAAAACTAGGGAAAGGAGGCCAAAATAAGGGAAAAAGAGGGCAAAAAGAAGGCAAATAACCACAAAAAGAGGGGGAAATGGAGAAAATGAGAGGATACAGCCCCCAAAAGAGGGGTGAATGGACCAAAAAGAGGGGAAATAGCCCCAAAACTAAGGAAAAGAGAACAAAATCGGGGAAAACAGGGCAAAAAGAGGGGAAAATAGCCAAAAAAGTGGGAAAGAGCCTAAAAAGAGGGGAAAGAAGAGCAAAAGGAGAGGAAAAAAGACCAAAATTGGGGGAAAAGAGCCCCAAAAGAGGGAAAAGAGCCCAAAAGAAGGGGAAAAGAGGCCAAAATTGGGAAAAAAGAGGGAAAAACAGACCAAAAAGTGAGGAAAACAGCCCCAAAAGTGGGAAAGAGACCCAAAAGAAGGGGAAAGACCCGAAAAAGTGGGAAAACCCCTCAAAACCCAGGGATTAATCCCTTATTTCCTCTTTCCCTTCCCCTCCTCCAGTGCTGCAATTAGAGGCCCTGCAGAGGGGGGGTGAAAGGCTTGGCCGATGAGGTCATCGCTGACGTCACCAATGAGGTCACCCCATTCCCGCGCCAGGCTGGAAAAGGGCCGATTCCCACCCAAAAAATCCCTTTGGAATGGCAATAAAAGGATGAGAATTGCAGGAAATGAGAGTGTGGGGCAGGGGAAAAGGGGCTTGGGGGTCACTTATGGGGCGGGCCCCACATATCCGGGTGCTTTGGCAGCCACATCTTGGCCCCAGGCACTTCCTGGTCCCCCCCATTGACCCCCTTGAGTCAATAGCTCTGGTCACGGAGCTGCCCATGGGGCCGGATCTATGGGGTGGGAACCCGGATATGTGGGGCTCATGGGGGGGCACCCGCATATGGGGAGCTTATGGGGGGGGCACAGCCCCATGGGGGTGTTATGTGGTGGGGACACCCAGATACGTGGGTCCTACGAAGGAAGAACCCAGATGTGTGGGTCCTAAAGAGGGTGGACAACCATGTGTGGGTCCCATGGGGTGGGCACCAGCTGCCCCCCCAGTTGTCCCCAATAGCTCCCAGTACCCTCCCCATACCCCATACCCCATACCCTATATCCGATATCACATATCCCATACCCCATACCCCATATCCCATAACCCATACCCCATACCCCATATCCCATACCCCATACCCCATATCCCATACCCCATACCCCATATCCCATAACCCATACCCCATACCCCATACCATATCCCATACCCTATGCCCCATATCCCATCCCCCATACCCCATACCCCCCCATACCCCATATCCCATATCCCATTCCCCATACCCCATATCCCATACCCCAATACCCCATATTCCACATCCCATACCCCATACCCTGTACCTCATATCCCATATATCCCATACCCCATATCGCATATCCATACCCCACACCCCATACCCCATACCCCATACACCACATCCCATGCCCTATATCCGCATATCCCCTATCCCATATCCCATACCCCATACACCACATCCCATGCCCTATATCCACATATCCCATATCCCATATCCCATACCCCATACCCCATACCCCATATCCCATACCCCATATCCCATACCCCATATCCCATACCCCATATCCCATACCCCATACCCCATATCCCATATCCCATATCCCATATCCCATACCCCATATCCCATATCCCATATCCCATATCCCATATCCCATACCCCATATCCCATATCCCATACCCCATATCCCATATCCCATACATATCCCATACCCCCCATACCCCATATCCCATATCCCACACCCCATACCCCATATCCCATACCCCATACCCCATACCCCATACCCCATACCCCATATCCCATACCCCATATCCCATACCCCACACCCCATATCCCATACCCCACACCCCATATCCCATATCCCACACCCCATATTCCACACCCCATATCCCATACCCCATATCCCCTACCCCACACCCCATATCCCATACCCCACAAAGTCCCTCCCAGTGCCCCAGGGCTCCTATGGGGAGAGCAGGAAGTGCCCGAGGCTCTGGGAGGTGCCACCTTGGGGGTGCCCCCATCCTGCGGATAAATCCCTGCAGATCAAGTGGGTCCAGACACACAGAGGGGAGAGACGGAGCCATGGGGTGAGGGGGCAGCTGGGGTAGGGATGTGGGATGTGGGGTGTGGGGTATGGGGTGTGGGATATGGGGTGTGGGGTGTGGGATATGGGGTATGGGGTATGGGATATATGGGATATGGGGTATGGGGTGTGGGATATAGGATATGGGGTATGGGGTATGGGGCATGGGGTATGGGGTATGGGGTGTGGGATATGGGGTATGGGATATGGGATATGGGGTATGTGGTATGGGATATGGGATATGGGATATGGGATATGGGGTATGGGATATGGGATATGGGGTATGGGATATGGGATATGGGGTATGGGATATGGGATATGGGATATGGGGTATGGGATATGGGATATGGGGTATGAGGTATGGGATATGGGATATGGGATATGGGGTATGGGGTATGGGGTGTGGGATATGGGATATGGGGTATGAGGTATGGGATATGGGGTAGGGGGTATGAGGTATGGGATATGGGGTATGGGGTATGAGGTATGGGATATGGGGTATGGGGTATGGGGTGTGGGATATGGGGTATGGGGTATGAGATATAGGATATGGGATATGGGGTATGGGGTATGGGGTATGGGGTGTGGGATATGGGGTATGGGGTATGGGATATGGGATATGGGATATGGGATATGGGATATGGGGTATGGGGTATGGGATATGGGGTATATGGGATATGGGATATGGGGTATGGGGTATGGGGTATGGGATATGGGATATGGGGTATGGGATATGGGGTATGGGATATGGGATATGGGGTATGGGATATGGGGTATAGATGAAGGATGCCTCCTAGCCCTGGGCAGATGAAGGCTCTCCCCATCCTCCTCCTCCTCCTCCTCACGGATCCCTGGGGACCTCTGGGAACATGTGGGGGGCTCAGGAGTCCCCCAGGTGAGTGGGGGCACTGTGGGGGCATGAGGGGCACCCATGGGTGCCTCCTCGTCCCATTGGAACCCATGGAAAGGGTGGGGGGCAGACCCATAGGTTGGGGTCTTAAACCCATAGTGGGGGGGGTCCCAGCCCTATATTGGAAGGTCCCATAGAGACAATGTGGGGCCCTGGGCCACCATGTGGGTCCCAGCCCCATAGCAATGGTGTCCCTCCCTTAGGACTGCTGTACCCCTATGGGGCAGAGGTTGGAGACGAAGCCACCCCCCATGAGGACGATGGGATGAGCCCAGAGATCATCCTATGGGAGACCTTCTCCTTCTATGGACAGCCCTACCGCTCGGTCTATGTGGGTCCTATGGGGGGCCTATGGGGTGGGGGGGTGAGGGTTGGGTGATCCCATGCTTGAGTGACCCCATGGGTGGGTGATCCCATGGTTGGGTGACCCCAAGGGTGGGTGATACCATGGGTGGGTGCCCCATTGGTTTGGTGACCCCATGGTTGGGTGTCCCCATGGTTGGATGCCCCCATGCTTGGGTGTCCCCATGGTTGGGTGATCCCATGCTTGGGTGTCCCTATGGTTGGGTGACCCCATGGTTGGGTGCCCCATGGTTGGGTGCCCCATTGGTTGGGTGCCCCATTGGTTGGGTGACCCCATAGTTGGGTGATACCATGCTTGGGTGTCCCCATGGTTGGGTGATCCCATGGTTGGGTGCCCCATGGTTGGGTGCCCCATTGGTTGGGTGACCCCATAGTCGGGTGATACCATGCTTGGGTGTCCCCATGGTTGGGTGCCCCATTGGTTGGGTGACCCCATAGTTGGGTGATACCATGCTTGGGTGTCCCCATTGTTGGGTGATCCCATGGTTGGGTGCCCCATGGTTGGGTGCCCCATTGGTTGGGTGACCCCATAGTTGGGTGATACCATGCTTGGGTGCTACCATGCTTGGGTGCCCAATGCTTTGGTGCCCCATAGTTGGGTGCCCCCATCCTCAGTCCCCCCATCACTCAACCCCTGCCCCACATTGGTTCCTCCCCACGGCCCCTCCCGCAGGTCAACAACAACGGGGTCCTGTCCTTTGGGATCGGGGTCCCGGAGTTCACCCCCCAAGCATTCCCATTGGCCGGGGCCCGCCCCTTGGTGGCTCCCTATTGGGCGGACGTGGACACGCGGCTGGGGGGCGACGTCTTCTACCGGCAGAGCCGCGACCCACGGCTCTTGGCCCGCTTGGGCCGGGACTTGGCCGCGGTCACCGTGGGGCAGGCGCCGAGCCCAACGTGGGCCTTGGTGGCCACCTGGGACCGGGTCTCCTACTTTGGGGCCGCGTCGGACAAGGTGGGGTAATGGGATAATGGGGTACGGGGTATGGGATATGGGGTATGGGATAATGGGGTATGGGATATGGGGTATGGGATAATGGGATAAGGGGGTATGGGGTATGGGATATGGGGTATGGGGCATGGGATATGGGGTATGGGGTATGGGATATGGGGTATGGGATATGGGGTATGGGATAATGGGGTATGGGATATGGGGTATGGGATAATGGGATAAGGGGGCATGGGGTATAGGATATGGGGTATGGGGTATGGGATATGGGGTATGGGGTATGGGATAATGGGGTATGGGATAATGGGGTATGGGGTATGGGGTATGGGACATGGGGTATGGGGTATGGGGTATGGGATATGGGGTATGGGGTATGGGATATAGGATATGGGTATGGGGTATGGGATATAGGATATGGGGTATGGAGTATGGGGTATGGGATATGGGGTATGGGATATGGGGTGTGGAATATGGGATATGGGGTATGGGATATGGGATGTGGGGTGTGGGATATGGGATATGGGGTATGGGATATGGGGTGTGGGGTATGGGGTATGGGATATGGGGTATGGGGTATGGGGTGTGGAATATGGGATATGGGGTATGGGATATGGGATATGGGGTGTGGGACACAGAGGTGCTCCCCCTCCCCATCAGGTGAACACCTTCCAAGCCGTGTTGGCCACCGATGGAGCCGCCTCCTTCGTCATCTTCAACTACGGGGACCTCCAATGGACCACGGGCATCTCCAACCAGGGGGACCCCCACAGCGGCCTGGGGGGCATCGCGGCCCAGGTGGGTAATGGGGTAATGGGGTAATGGGGGTAATGGGGGCAATGGGGGTAATGGGGTAATGGGGGTAATGGGGGTAATGGGGGCAATGGGGGTAATGGGGGTAATGGGGTAATGGGGTAATGGGGGTAATGGGGGTAATGGGGGCAATGGGGTTACAGCCACCAGCCTGGATGGGATGGAGCTATGGGAGGTTTGTGTTGGAATTGAGTGGATTTGGGTTGAAATGAAGGGGATTTTGGTCAGAATTGAGTCGGTTTTGGCTGAAAAGAGGGGGATTTGGATCAGATTTGAGTGAATTTGGGTTGAATTGTAGGGCATTTGGGTCAGAATTGAGTCGATTTGGGTCAGAGTTGAGTCGATTTGGGTCAGATTTGAGTGGGTTTGGGTGGAAATGGGGTGGTTTTGGGTCAGAATTGAGTGGTTTTGGGTCAGATTTGAGTGGATTTGGGTGGAAATGGGGTGGTTTTGGGTCAGATTTGAGTGGATTTGGGTGGAAATGGGGCTGTTTTGGGTCAGAATTGAATTGTTTGGGGTCAGAATGGAGTGGGTTTGGGTCAGAATGGAGTGGGTTTGGGTCAGAATTGAATGGTTTTGGGTCAGAATTGAGTGGTTTGGGGTCAGAATTGAGTGGTTTGGGTGGAAATGGGGAGGTTTTGGGTCAGAATTGAATGGGTTTGGGTCAGAATTGAGTGGTTTTGGGTGGAAATGGGGAGGTTTTGGGTCAGAATTGAGTGGTTTTGGGTGGAAATGGGGCGGGTTTGGGTCAGAATTGAATGGTTTTGGGTCAGAATTGAATGGTTTTGGGTCAGAATTGAATGGTTTTGGTTCAGAATTGAGTGTTTTTGGTTTTGGGTGGAAATGGGGCGGTTTTGGTTCAGAATTGTATGGTTTTGGTTCAGAATTGAATGGTTTTGGGTCAGAATTGAATGGTTTTGGGTCAGAATTGAATGGTTTTGGTTCAGAATTGTATGGTTTTGGTTCAGAATTGAATGGTTTTGGGTCAGAATTGAATGGTTTTGGGTCAGATTTGAGTGGTTTTGGTTTTGGGTGGAAATGGGGCGGTTTTGGGTCAGAATTGAATGGTTTTGGTTTTGGGTGGAAATGGGGCGGTTTTGGGTCAGAATTGAATGGTTTTGGTTCAGAATTGAGTGGTTTTGGGTCAGAATTGAATGGTTTTGGTTTTGGGTGCAAACGGGGCGGTTTTGGGTCAGATTTGAGTGGTTTTGGGTGTAAACGGGGCGGTTTTGGGTCAGAATTGAGTGGTTTTGGGTGTAAACGGGGCGGTTTTGGTTCAGAATTGAGTGGTTTTGGTTTTGGGTGCAAACGGGGCGGTTTTGGGTCAGATTTGAGTGGTTTTGGGTGTAAACGGGGCGGTTTTGGGTCAGAATTGAGTGGTTTTGGGTGTAAACGGGGCGGTTTTGGTTCAGAATTGAGTGGTTTTGGTTTTGGGTGCAAACGGGGCGGTTTTGGGTCAGATTTGAGTGGTTTTGGGTGTAAACGGGGCGGTTTTGGGTCAGAATTGAGTGGTTTTGGGTGTAAACGGGGCGGTTTTGGTTCAGAATTGAGTGGTTTTGGTTTTGGGTGCAAACGGGGCGGTTTTGGGTCTGTGCCGCAGGCCGGGTTCGACAGCGGCCCCGGCGGCCGCTCCTTCACCCTGCCCGGCTCCCGCTCCCCCGCGGCGCTGAGCCTCGGCCGCCGCAGCAACGCCGGCACCCCCGGGCGCTGGATCTTCCGCGTGGATCGGGGCCCCACCGAGCCCCACGGGGGCACCGAGGAGAGGGTCTACGCGTGCGGGTAGGGAGGGAGGGAGGGGGCTGTGGGGCACGGGATGGGGTGGGGGGAAGGACATTGCCCCATAGAAGGACATTGCCCCATAGAAGGACATTGCCCCATAGAAGGACCATGACCCATAGAAGGACATAGAACTATAGAAGAGCCGTGCCCTGTAGAAGATCCCTGCCCCATAGAAGGACCATGACCCATAGGAGAAACCGGACTCATAGAAGGACCATGACCCATAGAAGGACATAGAACTATAGAAGAGCCATGCCCCATAGACGATCCCTGCCCCATAGAAGGACCATGACCCATAGGAGAAACCGGACTCATAGAAGGACCATGACCCATAGAAGGACATAGAACTATAGAAGAGCCGTGCCCTGTAGAAGATCCCTGCCCCATAGAAGGACCATGACCCATAGGAGAAACCGAACTCACAGAAGGACCATGACCCATAGGTGGACATAGAACTATAGAAGAGCCATGCCCCATAGACGATCCCTGCCCCATAGAAGGACCATGACCCATAGGTGGACATAGAACTATAGAAGAGCCATGCCCCATAGACGATCCCTGCCCCATAGAAGGACCATGACCCATAGAAGGACATAGAACTATAGAAGAGCCGTGCCCTGTAGAAGATCCCTGCCCCATAGAAGGACCATGACCCATAGGAGAAACCGGACTCATAGAAGGACCATGACCCATAGAAGGACATAGAACTATAGAAGAGCCATGCCCCATAGAAGGACCATGACCCATAGGAGAAACCGGACTCATAGAAGGACCATGACCCATAGAAGGACATAGAACTATAGAAGAGCCGTGCCCTGTAGAAGATCCCTGCCCCATAGAAGGACCATGACCCATAGGAGAAACCGAACTCACAGAAGGACCATGACCCATAGGTGGACATAGAACTATAGAAGAGCCATGCCCCATAGACGATCCCTGCCCCATAGAAGGACCATGACCCATAGAAGGACATAGAACTATAGAAGAGCCATGCCCCATAGACGATCCCTGCCCCATAGAAGGACCATGACCCATAGAAGGACATAGAACTATAGAAGAGCCGTGCCCTGTAGAAGATCCCTGCCCCATAGAAGGACCATGACCCATAGGAGAAACCGGACTCATAGAAGGACCATGACCCATAGAAGGACATAGAACTATAGAAGAGCCATGCCCCATAGACGATCCCTGCCCCATAGAAGGACCATGACCCATAGGAGAAACCGGACTCATAGAAGGACCATGACCCATAGAAGGACATAGAACTATAGAAGAGCCGTGCCCTGTAGAAGATCCCTGCCCCATAGAAGGACCATGACCCATAGGAGAAACCGACTCACAGAAGGACCATGACCCATAGGTGGACATAGAACTATAGAAGAGCCATGCCCCATAGACGATCCCTGCCCCATAGAAGGACCATGACCCATAGAAGGACATAGAACTATAGAAGAGCCATGCCCCATAGACGATCCCTGCCCCATAGAAGGACCATGACCCATAGAAGGACATAGAACTATAGAAGAGCCGTGCCCTGTAGAAGATCCCTGCCCCATAGAAGGACCATGACCCATAGGAGAAACCTGACTCATAGAAGGACCATGACCCATAGATGGACATAGAACTATAGAAGAGCCATGCCCCACGATCCCTGCCCCATAGAAGGACCATGACCCATAGGAGAAACCGGACTCACAGAAGGACCATGACCCATAGAAGGACATAGAACTATAGAAGAGCCGTGCCCTGTAGAAGATCCCTGCCCCATAGAAGGACCATGACCCATAGGAGAAACCGGACTCATAGAAGGACCATGACCCATAGAAGGACATAGAACTATAGAAGAGCCATGACCCATAGAAGATCCGTGCCCCATAGAAGGACCATGACCCATAGAAGGACATAGAACTATAGAAGAGCCATGACCCATAGAAGATCCGTGCCCCATAGAAGGCCCCATCACCATGGAGGACACATTAGGACGGGCCCACAATAAAGCCTCTCCAAGCGCCCCATCTGTGTACATGTGTGAACACACGTGTGTCATACGTGGCCTTGCCAAGGGACCCCCCCCCCCAGGTTATGGGGCGGTCAGTGGGTCCATTGGGGGTCGATGAGTCCATGGGGGCGGTCAATGGGTCCATTGGGGGTCATTGGGTACATGGGGGGGGTCAATGGGTCCATGGAGGGGTCAATGGGTCCATTGGGGGGTGATGAGTCCATGGGGGGGGGTTCAATGGGTCCATTGGGGGTCAATGGGCACATTGAGAGTCAATGGGTCCATTGGGGGTCAATGGGTCCTTGGGGGGGTCATTGGGTACATGGGGGGTCAATGGGTCCATTGGGGGTCAATGGGCCCATTGAGAGTCAATGGGTCCATGGGGGTCAATGGATCCATGGGGGGGTCATTGGGTCCATGGGGGGGTCAATGGGTCCATGGAGGGGTCAATGGGTCCATTGGGGGGTGATGAGTCCATGGGGGGGGGTTGTGTCAATGGGTCCATTGGGGGTCTGATTGGCTCTTGGGGGGGTCATTGGGTACATGGGGGGGTCAATGGGTCCATTGGGGGTCAATGGGTCCAGTGGGGGTTGATGAGTCCATGGGGGGGGGTTCAATGGGTCCATTGGGGGTCAATGGGTCCTTGGGGGGGTCATTGGGTCCATGGGGGGGGTCAATGGGTCCATGGAGGGGTCAATGGGTCCATTGGGGGTCATTGGGTACATGGGGGGGGTCAATGGGTCCATGGAGGGGTCAATGGGTCCATTGGGGGTTGATGAGTCCATGGGGGGGGGTTCAATGGGTCCATTGGGGGTCAATGGGTCCTTGGGGGGGTCATTGGGTCCATGGGGGGGTCACTGGGTCCATTGGGGGTCAATGGGTCCATTGGGGGTTGATGAGTCCATGGGGGGGGGGTTCAATGGGTCCATTGGGGGTCATTGGGTACATGGGGGGGTCACTGGGTCCATTGGGGGTCAATGGGTCCATGGGGGTCAATGGGTCCATGGGGGTCAATGGATCCATGGGGGGGTCATTGGGTCCATGGGGGGCTCATTGGGTCCATTGGAGCTCAATAGGTCCATGGGGGGGGACCCAGGTTATAAGGGGGGGGGTGTGTGTCACGTGCTTTATAGGAGGGCTCTGATTGGCTCTTCCGGGTTTGGCCACGCCCCCTTCCAGGTATGGGTCGTCCCCCCCCCAGTTCCTGCTTTGGTCCTTGCTGGTGTCGGGACGTGAGTTGGGGGGGGCCCTATAGGGGGCTCCTATGGGGGGGGGGGGGTCCTATGGGTGTTGGGATCCCCTATGGGGGGGTCCTATGGGTGTTGGGGTCCCCTATGGGGAGGTTACCCTATGGGGGGGGGGGGGTGTCACTGCATTGGGTGTCCCACGTGTGGGGCAGGACCCCGGGGGGGTGTCCCTATGGGGGGGCTGCCCCATAGATGGTGGTGGGGTCCCCAAACACCCATTGGGGGCCGTGTACAATGGGGGGGAACCCCAATTCCCCCCCCCCCCCCCCAAGGACATTGGTACGACCGGTCCGGCCCTATGGGGCCCTGCGACCTCGCCCCACTCAGGAATGTCCCATTGGCGCCCATTAACACCAGTTCCCGCCCATTAACACCAGTTCCCGCCCATTAACACCACTTCCCGCCCATTAACACCAGTTCCCGCCCATTAACACCAGTTCCCGCCCATTAACACCCAGTTCCCGCCCATTAACACCCAGTTCCCGCCCATTAACACCAGTTCCCGCCCATTCACACCCAGTTCCCGCCCATTAACACCAGTTCCCGCCCATTAACACCCATTTCCCGTTCACCCAGTTCCCGCCCATTAACACCAGTTCCCGCCCATTAACACCAGTTCCCGCCCATTAACACCCAGTTCCCGCCCATTAACACCAGTTCCCGCCCATTAACACCAGTTCCCGCACATTAACACCCAGTTCCCGCCCATTAACACCCAGTTCCCGCCCATTAACACCCAGTTCCCGCCCATTCACACCCAGTTCCCGCCCATTAACACCCAGTTCCCGCCCATTAACACCAGTTCCCGCCCATTAACACCAGTTCCCGCCCATTAACACCCAGTTCCCGCCCATTAACACCAGTTCCCGCCCATTAACACCAGTTCCCGCCCATTAACACCAGTTCCCGCCCATTAACACCAGTTCCCGCCCATTAACACCAGTTCCCGCCCATTAACACCCAGTTCCCGCCCATTAACACCAGTTCCCGCCCATGAATGTTTTCCCACAGGATGGAATGGGACAGCATGACCTTACTGGTGATACTGGGAGGTACTGGGAGGGGATTGGGATGAACTGGGATCAACTGGGAGGGGGTTGGGATGAACTGGGATCAACTGGGATGAACTGGGAGGGGATTGGGATGAACTGGGATCAACTGGGATGAACTGGGAGGGGATTGGGATGAGCTGGGATCAACTGGGAGGGGATTGGGATGAACTGAGAGCAACTGGGATGAACTGGGAGGGGACTGGGATGAACTGGGAGGGGATTGGGATGAACTGGGATCAACTGGGAGGGGATTGGGATGAACTGAGAGCAACTGGGATCAACTGGGATGAACTGGGAGGGAATTAGGATGAACTGAGAGCAACTGGGATCAACTGGGATGAACTGGAAAGGAGTGGGAGGGAACTGAGAGGAACTGGAAGCAATTGGGATGAACTGGGAGCAATTGGGAGGGAACGGGGGGAACTGGGATGAACTGGGAGCAATTGGGAAGGAACTGGGAGGGGATTGAGAGGAACTGGAAGCAATTGGGATGAACTGGGGGTAACTGGGATGAACTAGGGGGAAATGGGATGAACTGGGATGAACTGGGACACTCACACCCCCCCCCATCTGGCTTTGTCCCCCCAGTTTTGCCCCTAGTAAGAGGGAACCCTCTGCCCCCTGGTGAGTAACTGGGGTGAACTGGAAGCAACTGGGAGGGGGGAAGAGCTGGACCAGGAATGGGAGTGGGATATGCTGGGATATAGGGGGGATATACTGGGATATAGGGGGGATATACTGGGATATAGGGGGTTATATTGGGATATGGTGGAGTTATATTGGGATATGATGGGATTATACTGGGATATGATGGGATTATACTGGGATATGATGGGGTTATACTGGGATATGATGGGGTTATACTGGGAATGGGGGTTTTATACTGGTGTCTTCCCATTCCCTACAGATGGCACCAGTCCCTTCCAGTACGGTGAGTGGGGACGGGGGGGTCCCCAATGGGGTGACATGGAGGGACCCCGATGGAGGTTATGATGGGATGTCCCAATGGTCCTCAATGGGGGCGCCATTGAGGACCCCAATGGAGGTGCCATTGAGGACCCAATAGGGGTGACATTGAGGACCCCATGGGGGTGACATTGAGGACCCAATGGAGGTGCCATTGAGGACCCCAATGGAGGTGCCATTGAGGACCCCAATGGGGGTGCCATTGAGGACCCCATGGAGGTGTCATTGAGGACCCAATGGAGGTGCCATTGAGGACCCAATGGAGGTGACATTGAGGACCCTATGGGGGTGACATTGAGGACCCCATGGGGGTGCCATTGAGGACCCCATGGGGGTGACATTGAGGACCCAATGGAGGTGACATTGAGGACCCCAATGGAGGTGACATTGAGGACCCAATGGAGGTGCCATTGAGGACCCCAATGGAGGTGCCATTGAGGACCCCATGGGGGTGACATTGAGGACCCAATGGAGGTGCCATTGAGGACCCCAATGGAGGTGACATTGAGGACCCAATGGGGGTGCCATTGAGGACCCTATGGGGGTGACATTGAGGACCCCATGGGGGTGCCATTGAGGACCCCAATGGAGGTGCCATTGAGGACCCCAATGGGGGTGACAGGGGTGTCCCCATGTGTCCCCCCCCAGATTGGCACCGCCTGCGTGTGGCCGGGCTCGTGGTGGCCGCTGTCCTGTGCGTGGTTGGCATCATCGTCCTCCTCAGTGAGTGTCAATGGGGGGTCCTTGTTTCAATGGGGTCCCCAGGTGTCAATGGGGGGTCCCCAAGTGTCAATGGGAGGGTCCTTGTGTCAGTGGGGTCCCCAGGTGTCAATGGGGGGGTCCTTGTGTCAATGGAGCCAAGTGTCAATGGGGGGTCCCCAAGTGTCAATGGGGTCCCCAAGTGTCAATGGGGTCCCCAAGTATCAATGGGGGGTCCTTGTGTCAATGGGGGTCCCCTGGGCTCAGTGTCCCCTATGGGGGGGTGACGTGTGTCCCATTGCCAGGTGGGAAGTGCAAGTGTGGGAGCAAATCCAGGTAGGAGATGGAATGTGGGATATGGGGTATGTGATATGGGGTATGGGGTATGGGTTGTGGGGTATGGGATATGGGGTATGGGGTATGGGATATGGGGTATGGGGTATGGGATAATGGGGTATGGAATATGGGGTATAGGGTATGGGATATGGGGTATGGGGTTTGGAGATAATGGGTAATGGGGTATGGGATATGGGGTATGGGATATGGGGTATGCGATATGGGGTATGGGATATGGGGTATGGGATATGGGATATGGGGTATGGGGTATGGGATATGGGATATGGGGTATGGGATATGGGGTATGGGATATGGGGTATGGGGTATGGGGTATGGGATATGGGGTATGGGATATGGGATATGGGGTATGGGGGGTATGGGGTATGGGATATGGGGTATGGGGTATGGGATATGGGGTATGGGATATGGGGTATGGGATATGGGATATGGGGTATGCGATATGGGGTATGGGGTATGGGATATGGGGTATGGGATATGGGATATGGGGTATGCGATATGGGGTATGGGATATGGGATATGGGGTATGGGATATGGGATATGGGGTTTGTGGTATGGGGTATGGGATATGGGGCATAGGAGATGCCAACCCCTCCTACCCCACCAGACGCCGTTATCCTCCCCCGGAATCCTCCCACCTCATTGCTCCTGGTACGTCCCCAAGTGTTCTCCCCCACATTGGGTCACCCCATGGTGACAGTGGGGTGGGAGGTCCCCATAGTAACCATGACCCAAGGCTGTGGGTCCCCCCCTGACCCTCATCTCTCCATAGGAGCCACCAGCACGTGTTGAAGTGACCCCAAGTGTCCCCAGTGGAGATGGGGGATGGGGGGGGGGTGTGTTTTGGGGTGAAACCCTCCGAAAGCAGCAAGAAATGGGACACTGAATAAAAAATGATGGTTTAAAAGGGAACATTTGGGGACACTGTGGTTATTGGGGGGTGGGGGTTTCGGGGGACAAGAGGGGACAAAGGGATGGGGGGGAAGGAGGAGGTGAGATGGGGTCAGTGGTGCCATTGGGTCGATGGTGGCCTTGGGGACATTGGGTTGATGGTGGCCAATGGGGACATGGGGTCAATGGTGCCATTGGGTCAATGGTGGCCTTGGGGACATTGGGTTGATGGTGTCACCAGGAGATGCCATGGGTGGTCAATGGTGGCCAATGGTGCCATGGGGCCGATGGTGCCATTGGGTTGATGGTGGCCAATGGTGACACGGGGCCAACGTAGCTGTTACCTTGATGTCCATCATCCCCCATCGCCACCATGGGGTGTCCTCGGTGGCCCTCAGGCCCCCAGGTCGATGGTGACGTGCCGGTAGATCTGGGTGGCCCCTTTGAAGCTGGAGACCACCAGGAAGTGCCGGTGCCCCACGGAGATGGGGGCGAAGGAGCGAGGAGATGGGGCCAGGAGCTCCTGGATGGGCTCGAGGTGGCCACCGGGCCCCAGGCGGTAGACGCGGCTCGGGGCGTAGTCGTTGCCCAGCAGGACGTAGCGCTGGCCACCCACTGCCAAGGGCTGGAAGACCATGGAGCCGCGGGCCGGGACCTGCTGGACCTCCCGGAACATGGAGCCCTCCCAGCGCATCACCTGCATGGGGAGGGATGGGATGGGGTGGGTTGAGGTGGGTTAATTTGGGTTGGGTAGGGGTGGGTTGGGTTGGGTTGAGTGATGGTCATCAGAGGGGTGGGTTGGGTTGGGTTGAGTTGGGTTGAGTTGGGTTGAATTGGGTTGTGTTGTGTTGAGTGATGGTCATCAGAGAGATGGGTTGGGTTGAGTTGGGGTGGGTGATGGTCAACAGAGGGATGGGCTGCATTGGGTTGGGTTGAGTGATAGTCATCATAGGGATGGGTTGAGTTGGGTTGGGTTGAGTTGGGTTGGGTTGAGTTGAGTGATGGTCATCATAGGGATGGGTTGGGTTGGGTTGGGTTGGGTTGAGGTAGGTTTGGGTTGGGTTGAGTTGGGTTGGGTGATGGTCATCAGAGGTACAGGTTGGGTTAGGTTGGGTTGAGTTGGGTTGGGTTGAGTTGAGTGATGGTCATCATAGGGATGGGTTGGGTTGGGTTGGGTTGGGTTGAGGTAGGTTTGGGTTGGGTTGAGTTGGGTTGGGTGATGGTCATCAGCGGTACAGGTTGGGTTAGGTTGGGTCGACTTGGGTTGAGTTGGGTTGGGTTGGGTTGAGTTGGGTTGGGTTGGGTTGAGTTGAGTTGGGTTGGGTTGGGTCATGGCCATCATGGACAGGGTTAGGTTGACTCCCCCATGATGCTGGTGTCCTCCCATCCCCGCACGACACCAACTCACCCCAATGCCCACATCCCGACCCCCACGCCGGCCACAGCCCCCCTTGGACGCCGATCACCCCATAGCCCCCCGTCCCCCCTCACCTTGGCGTCCCCAAGGAACCTGGTCAAGCAGAGGAAGACGTGGCCCCGCAGCCGGAAGTGCTTGGCGGCGTAGACGTCGGGCACGTGGGGGATGTCGGTGTGGGGCGCGAAGGCCCCCCCGCTCCACCGATAGACCAGGGGCCTGCGGGTGCCGCTGCAGAGCACCAGCGCCGGGCTGCCCCCCAGCTCCAGGAACTCCATGTGGGTGTCGCGGTGCCAGGGCCGAAGGGCCTGGTGGGGGTAGAAGCCTCGGCCCCCCCATCGGAAGAGGGTGCTGGTGCCCCCCTTGGAGCTATCGGCCACCCCCAGGTACCAGTGGCCGCCGAGGCGGGCGCTGGCCACGGCGTGGGGCCGGCGCAAGCGGCCGCCCCCCAGCGCCTGGAGCCGCACGAAGCGGGAGCCGGGACCCCCGGAGCGGCGCCACACGGAGGAGCCGCCGCTGAGCTGGGCCATGACCAACACCAGGGACCCACCGAGGGGCAGAGGGTGGCAGGCGACGGGGGCAGTGCCTGTGGGGCGGAGGTGGGGGTGGGGGTCAGGGGGGAGGGGGGGCAATGGGGATGGGGGGCAATGGGGAAGGGAGGAGGTGGGGATGGAGGTCAATGGGGATGGGGGTCAATGGGGATGGGGGAGGTGGGGATGGGGGGTCAATGGGGTGGGGGGGCAATGGGGAAGGGGGGAGGTGGGGATGGAGGTCAGTGGGGAGGGGGGCAATGGGGATGGGGGAGGTGGGGATGGGGGGCAACGGGGATGGGGGAAGTGGGGATGGGGGTCAGTGGGGATAGGGGAATGGGGAGGGGGGCAATGGGGATGGGGGAGGTGGGGATGGAGGTCAATGGGGATGGGGGAATGGGAATGGGGTGGGGATGGGGATGGGGGTCAGTGGGGAGGGAGGGCAATGGGGTCAATGGGAATGGGGTGGGGATGGGGATGGGGGTCAGTGGGGAGGGGGGGAGGTGGGGATGGGGGAGGTGGGGATGGAGGTCAATGGGGATGGGGGTCAGTGGGGAGGGAGGGCAATGGGGATGGGGATGGGGGTCAGTGGGGATGGGGGAGGTGGGGATGGGGGGAGATGTGGATGGGGTGGGGATGGGGGTCAGTGGGGATGGAACTCAATGGGGATGGGGGTCAGTGGGGATGGAGCTCAATGGGGATGGGGGTCAGTGGCAATGGGGCTCAATGGGTATGGGGTGGGGATGGGGCACAATGGGGATGGGGGTCAGTGGGGATGGGGCACAATGGGGAGGGGGGGAGGTGGGGATGGGGGGCAACGGGGATGGGGGAAGTGGGGATGGGGGAAGTGGGGATGGGGGGAGATGGGGAGGGAGGTCAATGGGGATGGGGTCAATGGGAATGGGGTGGGGATGGGGATGGGGGTCAGTGGGGATGGGGGTCAGTGGGGATGGGGCTCAATGGGTATGGGGTGGGGATGGGGCACAATGGGGATGGGGGTCAGTGGGGATGGGGCACAATGGGTATGGGGTGGGGATGGGGCTCAATGGGTATGGGGTGGGGATGGGGCTCAATGGGTATGGGGTGGGGATGGGGCTCGGTGGGGATGGGGCTCAATGGGGATGGGGCTCAATGGGGATGGGGATGGGGCACAATGGGGATGGGGTGGGGATGGGGCTCAATGGGGATGGGGTGGGAATGGGGCTCATGGGGCTCAATGGGGATGGGGTGGGGATGGGGCTCAATGGGTATCGGGTGGGGATGGGGCTCAATGGGGATGGGGTGGGGATGGGGCACAATGGGTATGGGGTGGGGATGGGGCTCAATGGGTATGGGGTGGGGATGGGGCTCAATGGGGATGGGGTGGGAATGGGGCTCAATGGGTATGGGGTGGGGATGGGGCTCAATGGGGATGGGGTGGGGATGGGGCTCAATGGGGATGGGTTGGGGATGGGGCTCAATGGGGATGGGGTGGGGATGGGGCTCAATGGGGATGGGGTGGGGATGGGGCTCAATGGGTATGGGGTGGGGATGGGGCTCAATGGGTATGGGGTGGGGATGGGGCTCAATGGGGATGGGGTGGGGATGGGGCTCGGTGGGGATGGGGTGGGGATGGGGCTCAATGGGTATGGGGTGTGGATGGGGCACAATGGGGATGGGGTGTGGATGGGGCACAATGGGGATGGGGTGGGAATAGGGCTCAATGGGACTCACCATTGATGATGGTGGGGGCCCGGAAGCGCCCGGCCAACTGGTCCCATTCCAGTAGGGCACAAGCCCCATTGAAGGGCTGGGCCAAGGCCAACCCTGGGTGTCCCCCCATAGCGAAGGGCTCGGCCGCCAGCGAGGAGAAGGGCAGGGACTGGAAGGGGCGAAGCTCTATGGGGCAACCCCATGGTCCCATCAGGGCCTGGACGCCTGCAATGGGGTTCCAGGGGGGCCAGGGTGGGGTTGGGATGGGGATCCCAGGGGTTGTTATGGGTCGGGGTGGGGGGTCCCATAGGGCTATGATGGTTTCCCATAGGGCTATAATGGGTTCCCATAGGGCTATGATGGGTTCCCATAGGGCTATGATGGGTTCCCATAGGGCTATGATGGTTTCCCATAGGGCTATGATGGGTTCCCATAGGGCTATGATGGGTTCCCATGGACCACCATGGGTTTCTATAGGTCTGGATGTGGTTCCTATAGGTCAAGACAAGGTTCCTATGGGTCTGGATGTGGTTCCCATGGGTGCATGATGGGCTTCTGTGGTCCATCATGGCTTCCTATGGGTCCATGATGGGTTCCTATGGGTCAGGATATGGGTTCCTTTGGGTTCATGATGGGTTCCTGTGTGTTCCTATGGGTCTATGGTGGGTTCCTATGGGTCTATGATGGGTTCCAATGGGCCTATGGTGGGTTCCAATGGGTTATGGTGGGTTCCAATGGGTTCCAATGGGTTTCTATGGGTCCATGCTGGGTTCCTCTGGGTCAGCCCCATACCTGAGCTGAGGCACTGGAAGTCGCGGGGCTGGAGCTGCTCCAATGGGGTTCCCTGGTGCTGGGGGGGGCCATGGCACCGCCCCGGCTCCGTGGGGATCGTGACGCTGCCCAACCAGGACACGACCCAGCGCAGGCGGCAGTTGCATTGGAACGGGTTCCCCCGGAGGTCCCTGCCCCATAGGGACCGGTGGGGATCAATGGGGATCAATGAAGTCAATGGAACTCAATGGAGTCAACGGAGCTCAATGGAGTTGATGGGGCCCAATGGGGATCAATGGGGGTCAATGGGGATCAATGGGGCCCAATGGGGATCAATGGGGGTCAATGAATGGAGCTCAATAGAGTCAATGGGGCTCAATGGAGTTGATGGGGCCCAACGGCGATCAATGGGGATCAATGGGGATCAATGGGGCCCAATGGGGATCAATGGGGGTCAATGAATGGAGCTCAATAGAGTCAATGGGGCTCAATGGAGTTGATGGGGCCCAACGGCGATCAATGGGGATCAATGGGGGTCAATGGGGACCAATGGGGGTCAATGGGGCCCAGTGGGGATCAATGGGGGTCAATGGGGACCCCCATAGCCCCCCATGTCACCTACAGCTGGGTCAGCGTCTCCAGGCCTTGGAAGAGGCCCTTGGGCAGCGTCTCCAAGCGGTTGTTGGCCAAACTCCTATGGGGCATGGGATAGGGGGTATGGGGTATGGGAGCCCCATAGAGCCCCATAGAGCCCCATAGAGACTCCATAGAGACCCATAGAGCCCCATAGAGCCCCCCATTGACTCACAGGTAGAGCAGTCCCCGGAGACCCCTCAGCGCTGTTGGGGCGATGGAGCCCACATCGTTGTCCTCAATGAACCTGGGGTCACCAGGGACGTCCAGTAAGGACCAGTAAGGACCAGCATAGCCCCACTGCCCTCCCAGTCCATCCCAGTCTGTCCCAGTCTATCCCAGTCTACCCCAGTCTATCCCAGTCCATCCCAGTGCCCTCCCAGTCTATCCCAGTGCCCTCCCAGTCTATCCCAGTCTACCCCAGTCTATCCCAGTCCATCCCAGTGCCCTCCCAGTCCAACCCAGTCCATCCCAGTCCATCCCAGTCCATCCCAGTGCCCTCCCAGTCCAACCCAGTGCCCTCCCAGTCCATCCCAGTCTATCCCAGTCCAACCCAGTTCATCCCAGTCCATCCCAGTGCCCTCCCAGTCCATCCCAGTCTATCCCAGTCCAACCCAGTTCATCCCAGTCCATCCCAGTCCATCCCAGTCCATCCCAGTGCCCTCCCAGTCCATCCCAGTCTATCCCAGTCCATCCCAGTCCATCCCAGTCCATCCCAGTGCCACTCACAGGTACTCCAGCAGCACCAGGCCAGAGAAGGCCCCGTCCCCAATGGTCCCCAAGTGCCCGGCAGTGATCAACCTGTGGGGACACCATAGGGACCCTATAGGGGCACTATAGGGACAGTATAGAGACCATAGGGACACCATAGGGACCCTATAGGGGCACTATAGGGACAGTATAGAGACCATAGGGACACCATAGGGAACCTATAGGGGCACTATAGGGACAGTATAGAGACCATAGGGACACCATAGGGACCCTATAGGGGCACTATAGGGACAGTATAGAGACCATAGGGACACCATAGGGACCCTATAGGGGCACTATAGGGACAGCATAGAGACCATAGGGACACCTATAGGGACACCATAGGGACCCTATAGGGGCACTAGAGGGACAGTATAGAGACCATAGGGACACCATAGGGACCCTATAGGGGCACTATAGGGACAGTATAGAGACCATAGGGACACCATAGGGACCCTATAGGGGCACTATAGGGACAGTATAGAGACCATAGGGACACCATAGGGACCCTATAGGGGCACTATAGGGACAGTATAGAGACCATAGGGACACCATAGGGACACCATAGGGACCCTATAGGGGCACTATAGGGACAGTATAGAGACCATAGGGACACCATAGGGACACCATAGGGACACTATAGGGGCACTATAGGGACCATAGGGACACTATAGAGACCATAGGGACCATAGGGACCCTATAGGGGCATTATAGGGACAGCATAGAGACCATAGGGACACCACAGGGACAGTACAGGGACCAAAGGGACACCATAGGGACCCTATAGGGAACATAGGGACACCATAGTGGCCCCATAGTGACACCATGGGGACCATAGGGCCCCATAGCGCCACCATACAGCCTCATAGGGACACCATAAAGTCCCTTCGGGCCCCATAGGGACACCAGAGAGCCCCATAGGGCCCCATAGGGGCCTGGCTGGGTCCTTACAGCAGCTGTAGGGCCGGGGTGTCCCGGAAGCTGCCTTCCCCCAGCACCTCGATGTGGCGGCGAACCAGGGACCTGCGGAGAGAGGGATGGGACTGGGATGGACTGGGATGGACTGGGATGGACTGGGATGGGAATGGGATGGACTGGGATGGACTGGGATGGACTGGGATGGGACTGGGATGGACTGGGATGGGATTGGGATGGGAATGGGATGGACTGGGATGGGAATGGGATGGGACTGGGATGGGAATGGGATGGGAATGGGATGGACTGGGATGGGAATGGGATGGACTGGGATGGGACTGGGATGGGACTGGGATGGGAATGGGATGGACTGGGATGGGAATGGGATGGACTGGGATGGACTGGGATGGACTGGGATGGACTGGGATGGACTGGGATGGGAATGGGATGGACTGGGATGGGACTGGGATGGACTGGGATGGGAATGGGATGGACTGGGATGGGAATGGGATGGACTGGGATGGACTGGGATGGGACTGGGATGGACTGGGATGGATTGGGATGAACTGGGATGGGACTGGGATGGACTGAGATGGGAATGGGATGGACTGGGATGGATTGGGATGAACTGGGATGGACTGGGATGCGATTGCTATGGATTGGGATGGGACTGGGATGGGACTGGGATGGACTGGGATGGGAATGGGATGGACTGGGGTGGACAGGGTTAAACTGGGGTGAAATGGGGTTAAGCTGGACTAAATTGGGTTAAAGTGAGCTAAACTGGGTCAAACTGGGATCTAATGGGGTTAAACTGGGGTCTAATGGGGTTAAACTGGTGTAAACTGGGGTCTAATGGGGTTAAACTGGGGTCTAATGGGGTTAAACTGGGGTCTAATGGGGTTAAACTGGGGTCTAATGGGGTTAAACTGGGTTAAACTGGGGTCTAATGGGGTTAAACTGGGGTCTAATGGGGTTAAACTGGGTTAAACTGGGGTCTAATGGGTTAAACTGGGGTCTAATGGGGTTAAATTGGGCTCTAATGGGGTTAAACTGGGTTAAACTGGGGTCTAATGGGGTTAAACCGGGGTCTAATGGGGTTAAACTGGGTTAAACTGGGGTCTAATGGGGTTAAACTGGGGTCTAATGGGGTTAAACTGGGTTAAACTGGGGTCTAATGGGGTTAAACTGGGGTCTAATGGGGTTAAACTGGGGTCTAATGGGGTTAAACTGGGTTAAACTGGGGTCTAATGGGGTTAAACTGGGGTCTAATGGGGTTAAACTGGGTTAAACTGGGGTCTAATGGGGTTAAACTGGGGTCTAATGGGGTTAAACTGGGTTAAACTGGGGTCTAATGGGGTTAAACTGGGGTCTAATGGGGTTAAACTGGGGTCTAATGGGGTTAAACTGGGGTCTAATGGGGTTAAACTGGGGTCTAATGGGGTTAAACTGGGTTAAACTGGGGTCTAATGGGGTTAAACTGGGGTCTAATGGGGTTAAACTGGGGTCTAAATGTGTTAAACTGGGGTCTAATGGGGTTAAACTGGGGTCTAATGGGGTTAAACTGGGGTCTGGGGTTAAACTGGGGTTAAACTGGGTTAAACTGGGGTCTAATGGGGTTAAACTGGGGTCTAATGGGGTTAAACTGGGTTAAACTGGGGTCTAATGGGGTTAAACTGGGGTCTAATGGGGTTAAACTGGGTTAAACTGGGGTTAAACTGGGGTCTAATGGGGTTAAACTGGGGTCTAATGGGGTTAAACTGGGGTCTAATGGGGTTAAACTGGGGTCTAATGGGGTTAAACTGGGTTAAACTGGGGTCTAATGGGGTTAAATTGGGCTCTAATGGGGTTAAACTGGGTTAAACTGGGGTCTAATGGGGTTAAACTGGGGTCTAATGGGGTTAAACTGGGGTCTAATGGGGTTAAACTGGGTTAAACTGGGGTCTAATGGGGTTA